TGTGTGTATAACTGTACCATATTTCATATTGTACTGGTTGTGTTCAATAAGCCTTTCTTCTAGTATCCACCTGGTGGTTGATATGTTGCTAAACAAAATCAACCAAACCAAATCCATCCAAATATTTAGATTTTGGTATTAAATAACTAATAGAGGTTGATATGCCACTGAACGAAATCAACCAAACCAATCAAAATATTTAGATTTTGGCATTAAGTAACCCATAGAAGTTGATATGGCATTAAATAAACCAAATCTAAATATTTAGAATTTGGCATTAAATAATCCGTAGAGGTTGATATGCCACTATGCATAAACAACCAGCCAACTAAAACTTTGTTGCTGCTCACATGTTCGGTCCACAGCATTCTCAGCCTACTTCTATGGAACCCTATTTCTGTTGCTTCAAGCCTCTTCTTCATCCGTGGAAAGATGGTTCAGGATATTTAGTAAAAACTGATATTTTGGAAAATAATGCAATCGAGAAATGAATAGCAAGGAAAAAGAAAAAAATATATATAATAAATGTGTACTTGTAAAATCTTCATGACCTACTTAGTTCAAATATCCCAATCTAACGAATCCTACCATCAAAGAATGTTAATAATGCTTAGGTTTTATGGTTTTTCTGTTTCAATGCTTAAAAGTTGTCTCCCTTGTTTTAAAAAAATTCTGTTTCCCTATATCCAACAAGGAATTTTCAAATCTCTTCTGAAAACTTTTCAACCAACCCATTCTTCAATCAATCGTCAGGTGTAATCTGCTAGAGAAAAGTAAACCTTTAATTATTTATACTATTTACAGTTGGATTTATGGTCATTCTATATCATGATAGAGGGCTTGTGAGTCCCAGTAATCCCAATAGTGAAGCCATCTGGAGTTCCAACTCCTGTAAGGCCACCATTGTGGTAAGGTCGAAGAAGAAGGACCAGACAATGCCACCAATCCCTGAAGACCCCAGGAGCAGAATAGGAAAAAAGATCTACATGACCTCAACAGCCAAACTGGTGGAAGAGGGCAGTGCCAATTGTAACCAAGGTGGTCCTTGACACACCAAGTATCCGACAGCCAAATGCAACCAAGTTTGCCTGATCTCGCATATCTAAATCCACTTTGAGCTGCAGGTGAGGTGCTTCTGGCCAATTATATGTGCTTTTCCACTGCACAGAGTTATCCACCAAAATCAAATACATGTTAATGGTCTCGTCAATACTCTCTCTGATTCACAGCTATCTCTGCCACCGCCACCAGGGGCAGGGGAGAATAGGGAGAGAGGATGACAATCTCAATGTGAGTGGGTGCCAACAATTGTGCCTCCCAATAGCAGTAACTTCTCATACCAGAAATTCAGGCATAAAGTAAGCCTTTAACTCAAGAGAAAGCAAAAAAACATCAGGCGGTATGAATTACTTGTTAATATTCTGTTTCTCTAGACTAGTCCATTTCTACAGATAAATACTCTGGTATTTGGCCAGCTATACTAAATACCATCAAGAGATAGATCTTCCCATCACCATCTTTGCTAAGCAAAGCAAAACACAGTGTTGAAATCTGTATTAGTTTGACTTCCACACCTGATTGACATTGCCCATATGTGCTGTTCCTTTTTTATTTTCAATCCCCAAAGATGCTTTCTGCTATTTGGACTTTATCCCAGAGAGGGTAAAGTAAACTCTTGTACTGCTTGATAAGATACACCTTTCCAGATTTTACTACCTCACTTTTAGTTGCACCTTTCTTTTTGTTCCTCCAGTTGAGAGGACAGATTGTTTCCTTGTCATATACTTTTCCACGTCTGCGAAGTATGTGATAAATGCAGTTTTTAGTCCAGTATTTCTCTCACAATTGACCAGTTCTAATAAGAATGTTGTGAAAAGTTGTAATCGCAGTCTTACCATGAACAAGAAGAAATATCAAGTTGATGTGATAAAACAACAAATGGAGATAATACAAGGTTGGGATAATTGAAAGAGATTTTATTTCCTGTGATCTACAAGTTTCAATCATTTCTTTGTTCTTTGTTATCATTTGTGGAGACTGAGAGTTTGCTTGGTATGTAACTGTTGTAACCTAGGGAAGGTTACTATATAGAATGATCACATGAAGTTTGATAATGAAAGATAATACTTAGGACAAGAACAATGCATATATGATTCACCCAGAGTGTGTAGAAGTAGTCAATTGCTAGAAGTGTGTCAAGTGAATTCCACACTGAATCTGCAACTGCAAACCAACATACAGTATTTAATACTGTATTTATGTAAATGGAGACATTATCCATTATCATCCATTGGTAATCTACAGCAGTGACACAATGCAGTAGTTGAGATAGATACATGGAGAAAATATTACATGAATTATCACATTGTAGTGGTTGAGAGTTAATGGAAGTGCATTGGAGTTGTTGCTGATGGCCAGGTTAAGCTTGCCTGCCATGGGGTCCATCAGTATTGTTTTATAGTGAGTCAGTGGCTGCTGGGAAAACCATATAGACCTTTTTTGATTAGTCAGAAAAGATGTTTTATGATCTTGGTATTTTGGACTGCATTCCAGAAGTAGGTGCTTAGAGACAGATGAAATTAGGGTCTGCTTTTGTCATATGAGCTGTGGATGTTAAAGTAAGCACTTCCATTTTGAGTTGAAGAATTGGAGTTGTGTTAGTGTGAATTAACTATAAAATGCTACCCAGTTTGTAGAACTAATATGTTTATTTATATTTTTGCAGCACAGAGCAATTCCCTTTTAGAAAGCATGCAGGAAGATGGTTTGGTGTTGAAGAAGAGCATCTTGGGAAGGTTAATTGACCCAACCACATCAGATCAGGTGAGGTTTTAATTATAATGCTAGACATAACAAGTGTTTTTGCTAAATTCTCAGTTTTGGGACTAAGACATTTTATAAGGACTGTAGACTCATCCAAATGAAAAGTTACTATTATTTTAATCTTTGCTGATATAATTTGCAATCAAGAAACAATAATGATAAGAAAAATTATGGGGAGAAAATAAATTCTTAAATGTAATCACAAAAATATAGTTTGGAAAAGAAAAAAAAAATCAACTTGAACAAAATGCATAATTTTGAAAATTAAATCATCAAAACTGATTTTCTTTTGTCTGGCACAAGGTGATGGGCAGCTACTGTTATTTGAACTCATTAATGCCATAATGGTTTATGAAAGCAATTGGGGAATCATTGAGTAGCAACCTAGACAATTCAAGATTTGTAAATATTAAATGATATCCAAAAATAGTTGGGGGGATTGATACAGTAAAACAATGAAAAATTGCAAATCTGTTAGAAAATTCTCATTAGTTATTTAGTGATGAAAAATTGTTTTATTTACACTTTACACTTGCATTTGGAGCTAAAGACAAGTTGAATAACCCTTGCATAACTAATTAAAAAGTGAGAAAAATAAAATTTAAAAAACAAAATTTAATAATTATATATATATATATATATATATATATATATATATTATATACAATAAATCAAGAACAGTTCATGTGACTTAAGTGTTCTTGAACTTTTCTTGATTTATTGTCTAGAAGACTAGATTACATTTGTCATTCGTGTATATTTGTGGCATAGTTATCTGTCGAATGCTTTCTGGAAGAAATTAGTCTAAAAAATAAACAGGTTAAATTCTCAGAATTTTCACTTGTGTTTTTTCAGTTGTATTATTGTATAATTAGTACTAGTTGGCACCGCTCACATCCAAGTATTGGTATCATACTCTCTCTTTATTCCCTTTTAGTGGTGGTGGCAGAGATTGCCTTGTAGACCCAGACTACTCCTGAAGGGATATATAATAAAAAAATTAATGGTCAAACAATACTGGAAAACAATAGTATAAATAAGTACTCAATAAATCTATTAAAAAAAAATAAAAATTTAACATGTAGAGCTTTTAATTATATATTTTTTTATAATATATATAAATAATTCATTTAAGCAATTTGTATTAAATTCAATCAACAAGGTTTGTCTGTTTCAATCCTTATTGTATTTTCTACTTTTTAAGTGAGTTATTGCACATCAGGATCAAAATTATGGGCAAACTGACCGTATAGTTGAATGTCCTCAAAACAGAAATATGAATTTTGGAAAAGTTTATCCACAATTTTGATCCTGATGTGCAACAACTCATTCAAAAATTGGAAAAATATTATAAAAAAATGAAACAGACAGACATTGATTGAATTTAATACAATTTACATGAATTTTTTGCTGCATATATACATATATAGGTAACCATAGTTTCCAAGTCTAAAACCAGGACTGTTTTCAATTTTTATGGTAGTTAGTTTTCATGTATAAGTGTTTCCGTCACCCAAAATACCTTGATTACCAGGGCTGAGATACACATAAAAAAGTGAATACTGATACTTTATATCACCAAGCCAAATCTGTATTGTAAACTTATATATATATATATAACTGTATGGTAAACTTATATATATATATATATAAAATAATGCTCTACTGTTGTCTTCAATATAGGGCGGGGGGTGTCCAGCTGCTCAGTTCATGGAACTGAACAGCCAAATAACCTGCACATATTTGATTATAGACTTCTGCGGGATGAATCACACTTTTTAGATCCGAATAATGAAGTAGTGCACATTGTGTGCCACAGGCTCTCCAAATGACCCTCCACAAGTTTTGATTTCATAGTTGTCTTTCTCTTAAACTGATTGCCAGCCAAGGCTAAATACCCCAGTTTGCCCTACTATTTAACTCATATCTAGTAAAAGATGAAAGAATGAATTCATATCTTTCCCAAGGGTATTTGTGCATAAAATGAACCCAACTGGAATTTGAACTTGGCTCTCTGATTTGTCATTCCAAGCTGTTATTACACCACCCACACATCCAATATATATATATATATATATATATATATATATATATAAAAGTGAACATTGAAGTCAACACTTAGAGGCGACAGGCTGTTTCATGCTAGACGCAATCAGGTGACATGAAACAGCCTGTTGCCTCTAAGTGCTGACTTCAATGTTCACTTTTATATTTACACATGCTCTATCTCTGATACTGAGCACTTCATCCCATAAATATATCACACCTTAAGAGGATATTTCTTCATACATATATATATATATATATATATATATATATATATATATATATATGTATGAATATAAAAGTGAACAACACTTAGAGGTGACTGTCAGTTTCATGCTAGATGTAATCGTCAGGCCACTTATATATATATATATATATATATATTCTCATTGCTACAAAGGTTATATTTAATAGATACATGTGTTTGAGTATATATATATCTGTTTTTTTTTGTTTTTTTTAAAGAAAATTTTGATTACCCAGGCTGGTAAACATCAGTTTCACTGTTTAATAAAACAGGATGACTTGTTTGTGTATCAAGTGGTACCGTCAATATTATGTTTGTAATAATAATAATAATAATGTTTTTATTGTAATATTAAGTAATAATAAATTATAATGTTTATAATAATATAAATCTAAAATAATAATGTTTACAGTAATATTAATCTAAAATAATGTTTATGGTAATGTAAACATAAAATTATGTTTATAGCAATATAAATATAAGATTATATAATGTTTGTAGTAATATAAGTATGAAATTATATTATGTAATGTTTATAGTAATATAAATAATATTTGTAGTACAAATCTAAAATAATAATTTTATTGTAATGGATATATAAAATAATAATGTTTATAGTAATCTAGATATAAAATAATATTTATGGAGGTATAAATATAAAAATGTTTATGGTGGTATAAATATAAAATAATGTTTGTAGTGATATAAAATAATTTTTATAGTGATATAAAATAATAATGTTTATAGTGATATAAAATTATATAATGTTTGTAGTAATATAAATATAAAATTATATTATGTCATGTTTATACTAATATAAAATAATATCTGTAGTAATATAAAATATCAATGTTTATAGTATTATAGAATAACATATTTATAGTAATAAGAAATATTTTCAGAGCAAAAATATCTATTTATTACTTTCAAATTATTTTGTTTTTATACATACATACACATATATGTGTGCGTGTTTGTGTTTATTTGTTAAAAGTGCATAATTTATTTTATTTTAGAGAGATGTTAAAATTGAAGAAGATGTGAACGACCCTGAAGTTCAGTTTTTGAAGTCCCTTTCAGTTGACCAGAAAAAAAAATTGCTCAAGTAAGCCATTGATTCTATTTTTTGTTTCCTTCTGTTTTGAAATTTTTTTTAACTCTTGAATGCCAGTCCATTCTCCTCCTCTTCTCCTTCCATCTATGGGTTGAATAGCAGGACAGACTGGTTTCTTTAGTCTTGGTTGCATTGGCAAGACAGCGTCCGCTCCTACAAGAAGATGTTCACCTCCTGTGACACTGACAACTGCTAAAGGGAAGCTCAATCTACAGACAGGAAAACCTGTAGACACCCTTTCATTTTGTCTCACATTTTCAGGAAAAATGCCAGACAATTTAAGGTACAAGGAGAAAAGAGACAGCCATAAAAAATTTGAGTTTCAGTAAAAATTCATCCTTACCCAGTGTCTTGTAGCTTCTTTTACAGCCACTATGCTGTATTGCCCTCATCAGCCATCAGCACAAAAAGCAGAATCCTTTTCGGGTCTTTATTTCAGGACCCAAAGCTCAGGGGCTTAAATATATGTTAGGTGTTAATTTTAGCTTCCATTTTTAAACATTTTTAAAATCATTTCACCTCAAACAAGGCAATAAAGCCACTAAGGCACAAGGGGTTACTATGTGTGAAAGAATATGAGAAAAAGAAAACCTTATTAAGGAAAGCAAATAATAAAAGAACAGGAATTAAGAAGATAGAAGATAATGGTTGGCACCACGTTTTTATTTGGAAAAAATCAAAATTGAGTGGAAATCAAGCAGCAGGAAGAGAGTTCCACAAGCAAGAAGTGCGATAGAAGAAACTGTTACCATAAAACGCACAACTACATCTGGTCATTTCAATTGTAAAATGATGAGACCTATCTGCCAATCTAGCACTGCGCTTAAATTCATAAAGTCTAGGAACCAAAGAGGAAAGCTCATCAGAACAATCTCCTAAGTTGCTCACTATTTTTTCCTTGTGCCAGACTTAATAAATAACTAAATTCGCATGTGTTTTGGCTTACTCAGATTGAGATAAATCACATCTCGTACAAGGTCATCTTGTACCATCCAACAATTCTTTTCTTCACTATTTACATTATTTGGACTATTGTCCTCATCTTTTTCGCCATATTTATTACACATGGCACAGTGGATAAAGGCATTAGTTACATCCAGTGACAGGACCCAAAGAGTGTGAGTTCAATACCCAGTTAAGTCAGTGGAGAACTTGGAGAGGGGAATTAACAGGAGATAACTGACATCCATTAAACATGGCAGATGGAACTAGAACAGTCTACCCCAGTGAGTGAAATAAAGTGTTAAGTTCGACATTCCAACCGCCTGAAGAAGGCCGGAGAGTACAATGGCCGAAACATTGTAATAAATATGGTGACAAAGATGAGGACGATAGTCCGAATAATGTAAATAGTGTACATAATACCTCATGTCAGAAATATAGACAAATTCTTTTCTTAATATTCCCTGTTGAAATGGGGGCTGTCATCCTTTTCCTAGATAATAAAAATTCATAAATTTTTAATAAATGATTTAAAAGAAACTTATTTCAAGTTGGGCCAAATAGGGATAGACACTGAAATTTGTGGCGAGGAGGTTTCATCAACAACTGGATGCCCCCCCCCCACCAATCTAATTTTAATTCCTAATCAAGTAATATTCAAGGTAGCATTTTTGTTGATTAATTTTCTTAACATCTTTAAGTCTTGAAATCTATGCTTCAGAGTAATAAATACTAAGCTGATCTCACAGACCATGAATACTCCAATCCTAGGTAAAACTACATCCACATTCTGGGTAAGATGGTAAACTACGTCCAGCAGCAAGGCCTCTGATCAGGAGGTTTTGAGGAGCATGGAACCACCTCTTAATTGCTGCTGTTCCCAGGTCTGCTAACCTGTTAAGGTTCCAGCTATGGGCAAATAGTTAACCAGCAAACTGGTGACAAAACACTATGAAAGTGTAAAAATAAGTTTTAATACCAGCAATACATTTTTTTTTTTAAATTATAACCAGTAATGAATTTTTGAAGAAAAAAATTATTACCATCAATAAAAATCTTATCTGCATTAAATAACCCATTGAGGCTGATATGCTGTAAAACAAACCAAACCATTAATACTCTAATATGTTAATCCTCATTTGGTACCCCACATTGATGGCCTTGTGTCAGATATGTGACTATTGATAAATCTACATTCTTATCTAGATCTTTGCTATCTGTAAATATGTGGTTTAAATGTCACCAGTTTGTTACTAACAATATAAGTTGTTGTTTATTATCATGTCTATTTTAAATCCAGCCAGGATTTTTCTCACATAACTTGTAGAGTCCTAGAGATGGATGTGCTTTGTGGTGTAGTGGTTATCGTCTTGGAGCGAGAACTCAGAGAGCAGAGTTCAAATTTCAGTCAAGTTCGTTGTATTTACTTACACACAAATAGCGTTGGTAAAGGTATCAATCCATCTCTTCTCTTTCCATCTATAGGTTGAATAGCAGGACAGACTGGTTTCTTTAGTCTTGGTTGGCAACCAGTCTACCACAGAAAGAAATGGCAATCTACTGCAGGAAAAAAAATCTGCCTCGTCAGTCATGCATCGGAAGATACATGATTGCCCAAATGTGTATTATGTATGGCAGTTACTAACTTTTTAAGAACATATTTAAAGTTGTTAAAAAATTAAACCTCCAAAACACAATTAATTTTTTGAAAAATAGTCTTGTATTTCTATTTTTTTAATATAATAAAAATAATGTTAAAAAGTGCTCTAGTTCAGATGTTGGCAACCTTTTGATATGTGCTGACTTAGGTTTTTAAAACCATTCAGTGTTCCAACAGCATACATATTTTTATACAAGCCAAGGTCAATATACTTCTTCTACAATATATTTTATATAGTAATATATAGTTTATATACTTTAGTATATATTAAAATTGAAACAGCTAAATATCTTCTTTGCGTTGTAGCAGTTATTGGTTCGGACTTCGTTATGCCATTTGCGTTTCCTTCCCCAAACTGTAACTCAGGGGTCAGCAACCTTTTACTAACTATGGGTCGACATAGGGTTTAAAATCATTCAGTGTGCCAACAGCATACATATTTTTTATACAAGTCAAGGTCAATATACCTATTCTACAATATATTTTATATAGTAATATATAGTATATATACTTTAGTATATATTAAAATTGAAATAGCTAAATCTCTTCTTTGTGTTGTAGTAGTTATTGGTTCAGACTTTGTGATGTCATTTGTGGCTGTGTGCTGTGGAAATTTCTTGGCTTGTCACATGTGGAACGCGTGCCATAAGTTGCCAACCCCTGCTCTAGTTTACAGAAATAACATTATTTTTAAAATCTATTTGGAACTTTAATTTATGTTTCCAAATCCACCTTTCTCTGACTGGAGACTTATAAGTTTCTTGTGGCTTCATGAATAAAATTACATTGGAGTTTAAAGAGAAAAATTTAAAAACAAAAAAAAACATAGGTTACAGTTGTATTTTTATTGAATATTTTGTAATGTTTTTCTGACAGGAAACTTACAAAAATGCACACAAAGGACAGTTCTTCCAAAAAGAGGGAGAAGAAAAAATCAAAAAGAAAGAAGAAACATTCAAAGAACACTCAATCAGGTAAGAAGAATCCAGATTTTTTTTTAAATTTTTATTTTCTATTCAATTCTGATGAGCATCCTCATCTTTCTCCTCCGACCTAACTCTAAAGTCTGAAGTGGGTGGGTGGAATCTCCCTTGTAACATTCAATACACCCATAACGAAGCTAGTAACGTTCCGTCATCACCATTTTTGTTAAATCCGTGCTCCAAATAGATCATTTAGTTTACGCAAATTAGTTTTTCAGTGTACAGATGCTTATTTAAAAAACAAAAGTAGCTCTACGTTCAAAAGAACTGTTTCTTGATTCCAATGAACATATTTCTTTACACAAAAAACTGCTACCAAAAGAAAAAAAAAATAGCTGATGTTAAGCGAAGATACAAGTGCCGAAATTGTGGAAAAATTGGAAGTGTACAGACATGACCAGTTTAACCAGGTGAGCTGACCTCTACCTGTGTGGGAAATTTAATGGCTTCCTATACAGGGTTGTGGCTTGATGAACAAAGAGAGTGACATTGTGAAAACATTTCTTTAATAAGGAACACAATACATAACAAAAAAAACCAGATCAAAATTGCTAAAACATATTCCTTTAGAGCTTATTGTCAAAGCATCAGGGACGAAATTCTATTATATATCTGTTTCAAATAGATGACACATCTGATTCGTGTTACATATTCTGCTGTATTCTCTGCATGTCTTCACATTATTTAGGTCAGCATTCCTGCTGTGAATGGTCTGAAAAGAAGTCTCATCGCTCCATACTCATCTTGGCATCTCCAGTCTGGAGTAATCTGAAACATGCCCATTAGCTGCATGTTGGTCATCTGTCAGTTGGCACTCCAAGTTTCATTTTGCATCTAATCTTGGGCTTGCCTACTATCACTTTAGAATAGACTCTTCCTATCATGAGATGGTCTATATTTTTTATACTCTGGGGTTTATTTGTTATATCAAGTGATTGTTGGATAAAGACACAAGAAAATCAACTGCGTATACTGCTCATGAAGTTGTGACTTTTTTTCTTTTTCTAAAGTGGGTGCTATGATTCTTTCATTTACAACAATCACATGTTCCATGATCAAGATAGGCTTACATGGCTGATGACTACATAGGAAATTGCTGCTGAGGCTCTTTTAAAGTTTACACAATAGAATAAAGATGAAAATTCAAGGTTTTAGGATAATGTTAGTGTTGTGGCCTTGTTAGGGCCAGAAATAAAGACACAAAAAGAGGAATTGAGTTAAACAAATATATTAACAGAAACAGTAATAGAAACATATACAAACAACAGTGTTGCAGCAAAAATGTTCAGTCTGACTGTCAGAGCTGACTGCTGGAAACTTCCCTCTCCAAAAGGCAGTACCTGCTCCTATTTATAGCTGGAAGAGTCCATGCTTGCATGGGTAAGTTATCATAACAGTTAGATGAAATAACAATCAATATATTTGAATCTGATAGCATTCAGCAAATTTGGCAACATTTGTCTTCGTTCAAGACAAGTTTGGCAACATTTGTCCCAGTTCATGAAAATCGAGGGAGTGATAATGCTATCAGGTGCTTAAAATCTGCTTTAGTGAACTTGAAAGAAGGAAGAAAGAAAAGAAAATAGAAAGGGACAGAAAATAGAGAAAGGAATGGAAGGGAAACAAAATAAAGAAATCGTTTGTAACTCTAAAATGGACATATATTATTTTTGTCTTTTATTATACTTCTTTCTATGTATCTTCTCAAATACTATTCAAGTTTCATTGATATTTATCCTTCATTAATGAAATAAACTTTATTGGTTGTCAGCATAGAGAATTGGCAATAGGATATAAAATAATAAAAGACATTTGTTTCCCCATATTTTGTTAAAGTTTTGTTTATTCTCTTCACATTACCTTTGTTACTGTTTACCTCTTTCTGTCTATATTTCTGAGATGAGGTATTATGTACACTATTGACATTGTTCGGACTATTGTCCTCATCTTTATTATCATATTTATTACAACGTTTTGGCCTTCTTCAGGTGGTTGGAATGTCGAACTGAACCCTTTATTTCACTCATTGGAGTAGACTGTTCTAGTTCCACGTGCCATGTTTAATGGATGTCAGTTATCAGTTATCTCCTGTTAATTTCCCCCTGAATGTTCTACACCACCGTAACCAGGTTTTGAACTCACACTGGGTCCCGTCACTGGATCTAACCAATGCCTTTATCCACTGTGTCATGTTTCCTTGATGACATCTGTGTATGAATTTCTGGGTATTATAAACCTAATGTCTTCAGTAAAAATTTTTTACCAGTGCTCATATTGCAATTTTTGCTGTTATCATTGCATATTTTTGTCAGAGCTCATATTGCAATTTTCGTTGTTATTATCGCTTTTCTCTGGCACTCCTTATTACTGGTTTGCATATTGTATTCATTTCTATGCTTGGTTGGCCCAGGAGATTTTTAACTGATAACTGACATCCATTAGACATGGCACGTGGAACTAGAACAGTCTACCCCAGTGAGCAAAATAAAGGGTTCAGTTTGACATTCCAACCACCTGAAGAAGGCCAGAGTGTATAACAGCCGAAACGTTGTAATAAATATGGCGACAAAGATGAGGACAGTAGTCCGAATAATGTAAATAGTGTACCTCTTTCCACTATAACAGAAGAGAGCTATAATAGAAAAGATTGATTCCCCCTTCATATTGTTCTCAGAGAGACTTAAACTGCTAAGTAATACCCCAAATTATATATACATGTGTCCCATGCAGAGAATAATATGTCACATATATCAACACAGCAAGCAGAGTGTAAAGAGAAACAAAAAGGAAGGGTCTTACATATATGGTGATTCTTCTGTTTTTCTGGAGAAGCCATGTTTTAGGACTCCAGATTCAAACAGGTAAGATTCATCTACTATGTCACAGGTTAAGACATATTCCATGAAGGGGAAATGATGAGTTTTGGGTTTTCCCAAATTGAGGACTGTGAGCTGGAATTTCTTTCTATATCTGGGAAAGATATATTTCTAAAGGGAAGGGGCACCATGCGCTTATAAACTGTAGCAGGAGGAAGCAGATTTAACCTCAGTCCAAGCCCCTTGGCCCAGGCTAAAAGAAAGCAATCTCTCAGTTTGGTTACCGTAAACTGGCTGATTGACTGGCAACTCTCATCACTGTATGAAATGACGTCACTAAGTGTCCGTCACATGACCCATGTGACTATCTCAGCCAAAGGGAGATAATTCCCTTCTGTATCCCTACACTACCATTAATCTTGTTTCTCAGCATGTGTATTATATCTTGCCACTTCCTCAGATGTATAATGGACCATTTAGTTTCGATAGTGAGGAAAGACAGGAGTAAAAGTTTTATCAGAGAAAAGAAAATCATACATAATAATAATAATAATGATGATAATAATGATGATGATGATGATAATAATGATAATAATAATAATTAATGATAATAATAATGATGATGATGATGATGATAATAATGATAATAATAATAATTGATGATGATGATGATGATAATGATGATGATAATAATAATAATTAATGATGATGATAATAATAATGATAATAATAATAATTAATGATAATAATAATAATGATAATAATAATAATTAATGATAATAATAATAATTAATGATAATAATGATGATGATAATAATGATAATAATGATAATAATGATAATGATAATAATGATAATAATAATAATTAATGATAATAATGATGATGATGATAATGATAATAATAATGATGATGATGATAATGATAATAATAATAATTAATGATAATAATAATAAGACAGAACAAAAAGCATGAAGAAATACTAGAAGCGATAACTCTATTGACTTTAATGACACAAAAGTAGCAAAGGATAAAGGAAGGAAATAGAAAGGAATGAGGAAAGAAAGAAATCATTTGTAATGTTAAAATGGATATATTATTTTTCTCTTTTATGGTTCTATGTATTTTCTTCAATATATAGACTTTGTTGGCAACCAGTCTAGGAGAAGCAAAATGAATTCAAACTGGATTGCACTATCCTAAAAGTGTGAATACATGCAGTTGAGGACCTCTTGTGAATCCAAATTCGCACTGAAACTCCTACTATTTGCATGCCCAAATGAATAGGACGCCTGCTACATTTGGTCAGCTTCCGTTTGAATATGCCATCAAAAGAAGACAGTGTTCCAATAGGGAATGAAAAGAACTAAGATTCATCAAAAAGTTCAAATCATAAAAGTTTACCTCTAGTTAATATTATTTTTTTTTTTTGAAAGATACAGTTGTATGAAATCATTATACTTGTAAAATTCAGTAGCCTTGGCTGATGATTGAAGCTCCTTTCGTAAAAAGCACTTAACTATGTGACCAATTTCTTCAGTATTTCAAAAAGAGTCTGATGAAAAAAAAAAAAAAAATTTAATCAGAGATTAAAATAATCAGAAAGAAATTTTTTTTTTTTTTTTGTTGGCCTCACGACCCCACCTCAGATTCTGTTTCTGATTACCTTTCTAAAATTCATTTTCTTTTCATTCGTAGATGACAATCTTCACCACAAGCATTCCAAGAAGTCTAAACACAGTGAAAGGAAGAGAAGGAAGCGGAAAACATCTGGTTCTGGAACTGACACTTCGAGCAGTGATTCCGAATCCAATTCTGGTCTGTGACCATTGATGGATTTTTCTTCTTAAATCTGATAGGAGAGTTAAAATGATTTTAGAATTTTACTGTTCCAGGTCACCGTTGGGCAAAGGGTTGTATTTATTTGACATATGCACGGATACAAAACATGATGATCTATTTTGATAAGGGGATGTGCTAAAAAGAAGTAAGAAAGTGTGAAGTTGGCCTAATGGTTAATTTAGGGCAAAATGGAATTAGTAAATCCCAGCAGAGGTAGTTAGTGTTTACTTTGTACTAATGCCCTTGGCAACCTCCCTCCTCTCTCAATAAGTCAGGAGTTATTAGAATGATGATATATATTAGAATAATAATAATAATACTAATAATGTCTTAAAACAGGGAATTTTTTGAGACCTACGATCAACAGTGTCCTTAAAGGATACTGTACAAAAAAGATCATTGCATAGAAAACAGTCATATGCAGAATAAAGAGGCCTGACTGGCTATTTAAATCTCTATATAATGTATGTACGAGGGTTATGAACATTTCAGCCAAAACTCATATATAAAAAAATTGAGATATAAATAAAAAATATCTGTGAAAATGTCAATATGAATAAAAACTTATATATACCAGGTGTAACAGCAAAATTGTCCAAATTGTTTAACAGCATGGGATAATTGTTCATCCTACAAAATGTTTAATATCTAAAAAAAAAAAATCACTAAACTAATTGAGTTTATTTTTTTTTGCAGATTTTCAGGTAAGATGTTTAAGCATCTTGACCATATTTGTCGTAAGAATCACTGAAAAACCATTTCAGTTTTTCAGCTAGAAAGAGAACAGGTTAAAATCATTTTATGTCAGTCTCAATATATCTTCCCACCTGAATAATGGTGAGATAAAAAAGATTATTCCGGCCTTCAGTAATGGTACCAACATTTATTCTCTGGCTTCCGTCTTCAAAGTTCATTCAAGAACCATCAAGAAAACGGTGAATAAGTTTAAAAAAGAGGGAACAGTAGAGAGGAAAATTGAATCAGGAGGTCACAACAGGAAGAGGGATCATCATTTCAACTTAGATTTAAATACATTCTTATTGTACAAAGTAGAGTCCAATAGTATTATAAAATCCTTGGAGTATTCCAGTAAGATATCTTTAATCATTTCTAAGGTACAACAGTTCAAAGCTTAATCTAACAATTGGACAATTTTGCTGTTACACCCGGTATATATGACGAATGCATTTGATAAATTGTTGTGTATGTGATCCATTTTGTGTTCACAGATCCATTTTTTTTAAAAATTTCCCATGTATTGTTGTAACTGTTTAATATATATATCATTAAATTCAGCCCATGTAATGCCGCTAAGACACAAGGGGTTACTAGGTATGGAAGAATTAGAGACAGAAATATTGCTAAAGGCCAAGAACAAAAATACTAATCAGGACAACAATACATTAGAATTTTTTAGGATTAAATTTGGTTGAAAAGCATGGAACGGGAAGGGAGTTCCATAAGCAGGAAGTGTAAGAAAAGAAACGGCTAACATAGAATTTACAGTTACATCTAGCAAACCAAAGAGTAAGTAGATGAGATCTCGACACCAGTCTAGTACAGCGCTTAAATTAAAAAAGTCCAAATATAAATGATAAATCTCTACTCCTGTTTAAAAGACCAGGAAGGAGTGTGAACTGGGCGATAGGTGGATCTATCTACTCCTACTGAGGAAAAGAAAATATAAATAGTAAGTAAAATTTCAGAGTTTAACCAGACACAAAGTAGAATTTAGAAGGAACTAGAAACCCAATCCTAAACAGGAAACAAGTAGAAAGCTCTACTCTTGTTCACATGACTGGAGAGGAGTGTGAACTGGGCGATAGGTGGATCTATCTATTCTTAGTGAAGAAAAAAAAATATAAATAGTAAATAAAATTTCAGAGTTTAACCAGACACAAAGTAGAATTTAGAAGGAACCAGAAACCCAATCAATCCTAAACAGGAAACAAGTAGAAAGCTCTACTCTTGTTCACATCACTGGAGAGCGGTGTGAACTGGGCGATAGGCGAACCTATTTACTCATATCTTGTTAAGATTTGTTTCTCTTACTTTAAATTATTATTGCTATTGACCGAGTGATAAATTCTGATCTTTTTGCTTTTTACAGATGATGAATACCAGAGAAAGAAAAAGAAGAAGAAGAAGAAGACAACGAAAAACAGCAAGAAGGCAACGCCAAGCTGTGATAATTGGGAGGGAGAGGGGGCAAAGAAAAAGAAGAAAAAAGAGAAGAAAAAGAAGAAGAAACGAGAAGCTTCCCCTTCTAGCAGTAGCAGCAGCAGCAGCACTGAATCAGGGTCATCATCATCATCTTCAGAATCAGGTAAACACAATACGTTAAGATACATTTGATAGAAACACTTAAAAGCTACTGCTAGTGACTCAAATCTGGTCTCATGTCCTTGAACCAAACTTAGCTAAGATATGTGTAGATCTTGAAATTTGATAAGAATTAGGATTAAAGAACTGAAATGGTGAAATGTATTTGTCTGAAGAACAAACTTCATCTGGCATCCACAGAATTTTATATATTTGATGCCCGGATGATGACACAAATTTTTTCATTAAAACTTTTATTATATTCTAATGTGGATGTGTTGTTGGTCTAATGGATGGCTCAAAAAGAGAAACTGGCGAGTCGAGTTCGAATTCCAGTCAAGTTTCATTACATTCACATTCTTACAAAAACCTTTGGGAAAGGTATGAATCATTAATCCCCCCTGCTATGGAGTGAATAGTAGAACAGACAGGGCTTTTTAGACTTGGTTTGACAACCAGTCTTGGAGAAGGAAAACTCTGAATTCAAAAACTATATGTAGCCTTAGCAAGCACATACTATAACACTAAGGAAATGATCGTTTACATTAACTCTCTGATCCCGACTACAGTCAACTCCTTTTTTAACAACTAAGAATATCCATTCTCTTGTCTCTTGGCCTGTATCTTCTCAATCTCACCCTTGTCCTTTCAATTTTCTTTTGATATCAAGCTAGCAACTTGAATCTTCAGTTTTTCACTGCACTTTATATATATAATATATATATATATATATATATATATATATATATATATATATATATTAGAGCTGAATGAATCATTAATCCCCCTGCTATGGATTGAATAGTAGTACAGACTGTATTCTTCAGACTTGGTTTGGCAACCAGTGTATGAGAAGGAAAACTCTGAATTCAAAAATTATATGTAACTCTGTGATCCCAACTGCAGTTAGCCGTGATTGATTAATTTATTCTAAAAGCAACTAATTTCTTGAAGTTAAAACAAAAAACTGTTACTATTCATACAATAATCAAACTTTAAGCATTTCATTTTAATAAAACACAAAATGAAAAATGAATTTTCCCATTTTCTTAGATTTCAAGACATCTTGAAATCTTTTTCAAGTAGAAATTTTCTTTTGATGAGAACTGACCAACTACCTGATATCTGATCAGTTCTGAGACTGAGATAATGATTTTAGGCTAACATGTTTTTTCAGTTGATGGAAAGGCCAAAATGAATTATTTCATTTTTTTTCTTTTATTTTTTTCAGACGATGATTGTAAACCGGTTCGATCACAACATGATAAGACTCTTCCAAATCGAGGCCACTCTTCAGAGCATCCAACCAATCTGTATCGGAATCGGAGTCCTCCTTCCATAAACAGAAAGATCTCGTCTCACACCAAAACTGGGAGTTCATATTTGCGATACAAAAACAGTTACAGGGAAGAGGAAAGATCCACACACAGTCGGAGCAGATCTCGTGAACGAGTCTTGGGCAGACATCAAAGCAAAGCCGAGAGACAGAGGCAAGAGCGAGTGGATCGGAGCAGATCCAGGGATAGGCAGACTGATCAGATCAGGTCCAGGGATAGGCAGACTTATCGGAGCAGGTCTAGGGATAGGCAGATGGATTGGGGCAGGCCTGGGAGAAAACCAGTCGATCAAAGAAGCTCCAGAGAAAAGCAAACTGATTGGAGCAAGTCCAAGGATAGGAAGATGGATCAAAGCAGGTCCAGGGAACATTTCCAGCAGAATATCAAATCAAGGGAAAGTTTCCGACAACAAAGTAGATCCAGTTCCAGGTCAAGAGAAAGGCACCAGAGGAGTCGCTCCCAGGAGTATTCTCATGAGAGACAAAAGAAAGACAGTCGGAGTCGTTCAAGGGACAGAACTTCGTCTGATTATCGTCATTCTAAATCTTGAATGACATTTGAAGAAAGCTGTGGTGAATGAGTGAATTGAAAAACATTTATTCGTCTGTGGTAAAAGTGATCTTGATTGTAAAGTTTTTAGTCTTTATTTCCTCTTCCCTTAAACAAATTAATTTCTATTTTGTATTTGTGATTATCTACCCTGATTGTACAGTAAATATTCACATTGTCAAATTCAAATTTCGTTTTTTTATTTTTTGTTTTTTCAAAATTTTTTATCTATTTTTTAAAATTTTGAAATTTTTGATTATTCTTTTAAATTTTTGATTTAAAAACATTTTTCAGTTAAATTTTTTTTTTTTTTTTGAATAATTACTCTTGATGAAATCCAAAGCAGATTCTGCAAAAATATTCATCCTGACCTGGCATCCCAACTCAGTCACTTTCCCATTGACATAATGTAGCTTTCCTGTGACTTTTCTATAAATACTTTCATGGTACTTGTTTTGATGAACTCTTCACTGTGGTACCTAGATTTTATGAACTTTAACTCAGTACTAGACTGGTGCTAAGTCTCATCAATTTACAGTTGAAATGTCTAGATGTAACCATAAGTTCTTTGCTAACAATTTCATCTCTCACAGTTCTCGCTTGTGGAACTCTCTTCTGGTTTCTTGCTTTCCTGCCAACTTTGATCTTCAAGCATTTAAATACAGTGTTCTGCTATATATTTAGAGATCCTTGATAGAATCCAAAGAATTTGCAATGTTATTGCTCCTGACCTGGCATCTTACCTTCAGTAACTTTCCCAGTGCCATAATGCAGCTTCCCTGTGCCTTTTCTATAAATATTTTCATGGTAATTGTTCTGGTGAAATTTTCTTTATGGTACCTAGTCTTAATGAATTTAACTGCAGTACTAGATTGGCAACAATGTCTCGTCACTTTACGGTTGAAAGGGCTAGACGTAACTAAGTTCTAAGGCAAAAATTTCTTTTCTCACACTTTTCGCTTTTGGAACTCTTTCTTCCAGTTTCATGCTTTCCAGCCAACTTTGTATAAAAGATTTTGAAAATCAATGTCAACCATTATCTTCTTTGATTCTTGATTCCTCTTCTTTGATTCTTGATTCCTCTTCTTTGATTCTTCATTCCACTTATTAGATTCTTGATTCCTATCCTTTGATTCTTCATTCTCTTTCTTTGATTCTTCATTCTCCTTCTTTGATTCTTCATTCACTTTCTTTGATTCTTCATTCCCCTTCTTTGATTCTTCATTCCCCTTCTTTGATTCTTCATTCCCCTTCTTTGATTCTTCATTCCCCTTCTTTGATTCTTCATTCTCCTTCTTTGATTCTTCATTCCACTTTTTGATTCTTATTCTCTTTCTTTGATTCTTCATTCCTCTTTTTGATTCTTCATTCCCCTTCATTGGTTCTTCATTCCCCTTCATTGGTTCTTCATTCTCCTTCATTGGTTCTTCATTCCCCTTCATTGGTTCTTCATTCTCCTTCTTTGATTCTTCATTGCCTTTCTTTGATTTTTCATTTTTTTTTTGATTCTTCATTCCCCTTCATTGATTCTTCATTCTTTTTTTTTGATTCTTCATTCCCCTTCATTGACTTTTCATTCTCCTTCTTTGATTATTTATTCCTCTTCTTTGATTCTTCATTCCCCTTCTTTGATTCTTCATTCCCCTTCTTTGATTCTTCATTCCCCTTCTTTGATTCTTCATTCCCCTTCTTTGATTCTTCATTCCCCTTCATTGGTTCTTCATTCTCCTTCTTTGATTCTTCATTGCCTTTCTTTGATTTTTCATTTTTTTTTTTGATTCTTCATTCCCCTTCATTGATTCTTCATTCTTTTTCTTTGATTCTTCATTCCCCTTCATTGACTTTTCATTCTCCTTCTTTGATTCTTCATTCTCCTTCTTTGATTCTTCATTCTTTTCTTTGATTCTTCATTCCCCTTTTTGATTCTATTCTTTTCTTTGATTCTTCTTCCTCTTTTTGATTCTTCATTCCCCTTCATTGGTTCTTCATTCTCCTTCTTTGATTCTTCATTGCCTTTTTTGATTTTTCATTTTTTTGGATTCTTCATTCCTCTTTTTGATTCTTCATTCTTTTTCTTTGATTCTTCATCCCTTCTTTGATTCTTCATTTCCCTTTTCTTTGATTTTTCATTTTTTTTGATTCTTCATTTCCCCTTCTTTGATTCTTCATTCTCCTTCTTTGATTCTTCATTTCCCCTTCTTTGATTCTTCATTCTCCTTCTTTGATTCTTCATTCCCCTTCTTTGATTCTTCATTCTCCTTCTTTGATTCTTCATTCCCCTTCTTTGATTCTTCATTCTCCTTCTTTGATTCTTCATTCTCCTTCTTTGATTCTTCATTCTCCTTCTTTGATTCTTCATTCCCCTTCTTTGATTCTTCATTCCCCTTCTTTGATTCTTCATTCCCCTTCTTTGATTCTTCATTCTCCTTCTTTGATTCTTCATTCTCCTTCTTTGATTCTTCATTCTCTTTCTTTGATTCTTCATTCCCCTTCTTTGATTCTTCATTCTCTTTCTTTGATTCTTCATTCCCCTTCTTTGATTCTTCATTCCCCTTCTTTGATTCTTCATTCCCCTTCTTTGATTCTTCATTCTCTTTCTTTGATTCTTCATTCTCTTTCTTTGATTCTTCATTCCCTTCTTTGATTCTTCATTCCCTTTCTTTGATTCTTCATTCTCTTTCTTTGATTCTTCATTCCCCTTCTTTGATTCTTCATTCTCTTTCTTTGATTCTTCATTCCCCTTCTTTGATTCTTCATTCTCTTTCTTTGATTCTTCATTCCCCTTCATTGACTTTTCATTCTCCTTCTTTGATTATTTATTCCTCTTCTTTGATTCTTCATTCTCCTTCTTTGATTCTTCATTCCCCTTCTTTGATTCTTCATTCTCTTTCTTTGATTCTTCATTCCCCTTCTTTGATTCTTCATTCCCCTTCTTTGATTCTTCATTCTCTTTCTTTGATTCTTCATTCCCCTTCTTTGATTCTTCATTCTCTTTCTTTGATTCTTCATTCTCCTTCTTTGATTCTTCATTCCCCTTCTTTGATTCTTCATTCTCCTTCATTGATTCTTCATTCTTTTTCTTTGATTCTTCATTCCCCTTCATTGACTTTTCATTCTCCTTCTTTGATTCTTCATTCTCCTTCTTTGATTCTTCATTCCCCTTCTTTGATTCTTCATTCTCCTTCTTTGATTCTTCATTCCCCTTCTTTGATTCTTCATTCTCTTTCTTTGATTCTTCATTCTCTTTCTTTGATTCTTCATTCTCCTTCTTTGATTCTTCATTCCCCTTCTTTGACTCTTCATTCTCCTTCTTTGATTCTTTATTCTCTTTCTTTGATTCTTCATTCCCCTTCTTTGATTCTTCATTCCCCTTCTTTGATTCTTCATTCTCCTTCTTTGATTCTTCATTCCCCTTCTTTGATTCTTCATTCTCTTTCTTTGATTCTTCATTCTCCTTCTTTGATACTTCATTCTCCTTCTTTGATTCTTCATTGCTAAACCTAAATTCCTAGAACTAATAAAGAGTTCGGTTGTTGGACAACTGCTAAGACTTTTACATTTGTCAGAATAGTAAGACCTAATAATTCCTCTTTTTATTTTCTTAACAATTTCTTTCACCGCTTTGTCTTTGTAGTTCTGTAGTTTCCATTCCATATCATCCATCAACAATATGTCATTTGAGTCCTGACAATATCCTATTAAAATTTATTAACTATAGGCTATCACCAATTCCCATAGATTCTGTTTTCTTGCAGTTGATGTTTAGCCCCCTTTCTTCTTGTTTTCCTCCACCTCCATGTCCAGGATGTTCTATATTTTCCACTCCCAATCATCCATCAGCACAATGCCAATTGCGTACCTTATATTGATAAATTTACGCTCACCGTTAAAAAAAATCCTGGTAGGATATTCACTTCCACAGGATAACGTCGCTGTAGAGGTTGAATAAATAATTTTATGTACCTACTTAATTCATTTCCTGTGCATAAGCAGGCTGTCCGCTCCTAGTCTAAATTTTGGATTATTCTAACATTCTTTCCGAATAGATCTAGTTTTCTTTACCACACATCCTTGGAAAAGACAGAAGTGGCCGTCTTCTACGTCTGAAAATGTTCAACGGTGTCTTTCTGATTGTAAATTCAAGTTTCTTTAGAAGTAAACATCCTCATTGCTCACATGTTCTACTTTTTGTTAGTAGTGGCCAGTGGAAACTCTTTATTCGTTACTTTGTGATACTAAGAGTGGGGCACCCACACGAAGGATAAGGTTTGATATTTTATCTTGATCTCAAGTGTTTCAGGTTTTATGGCCTGCAGGTAAAGTATTTGAAGTCGGATCTTCCAAGCAGCATCCACTCGACCAAAGGGGGACAAAATAAATGTAAATGAGAGGTTTTAAGGGCAACTGACAACAAACAGAATATTGATGGTTTCCGGTAGTTGGTGTATATTAACAGCCATGTTCTTTCTTTTAAGGCAATTCACTAGCAAGCAAAGGGTTACAGAGGAGGGAGAACAAGAGTAAAGTGGCGTGTTTTTGAGGAAAGGATACAGAGAAGGATGAGGGAAAAAAAAGCTCAGGGTGTCAGATGTCAATTGGCATTACACTTGAATATTTGAAGATTATAGTCATCGGGAAAGCAAGAAAGGGGAAGGGAGTTCCACAGACAGGAAGTATGGGAGAAGAAGCTGTTTGAGAAGAAGAAACGGTTACATTTAACCGTTTTAACAATGAAAGGGTGGGAGCGAGATGCCAGGCTGGTAGCTTCATTTAAATTCATGAAACCAGCGAAAGTATCTCATTGAAACGGTCATCTTGTTTTACTATCCATGTCGAAAAATGATTCTCTCGGCACATTGTCATATGCAGAGAAATGGTTTGCTGAAAACTATCATCTGATTATCACAGGTGTAAACGCTTTTGTGATTATATAAAGGGTTACTCAGATCTTTGAGGAAATTTAATAAAAGACATATAAGTCATGAAAAGAGTTTTATTCAAGAAAAAAAAAAATGAATAATCCTGAGATGCTTCCTGATGCAACCCCTTAATGAATCTGACGCTAGCATTGATGAAGGCTTCATTCAGTCAGTTATGTACCATGAATGATACATGCTTAGGCGATCATGTGATGGATTTGATAGATAGATATTTAGATATCAGCAGACTGATAGATATATGTAAACAGACAGAGATAGATCAGTATGTGCCATGCATGATACATGCTTAGGCGATCATGTATCTTTCGATACCTGTCTGATAAGGCAGATTGTTTCCAGCAGTAGGTTGCCATTTCTTTCTGCGGTAGACCAGTTGCCATCCAAGGCTATAGAACTTGGTCTGTCCTGCTATTTACCCATAGCTGGAGTGGGGAAGAATAGGATTGACCCCTTTTTCAAGGGTATTAGCACGTAAGTGAATTACAAGGCATGAAACGTTGATATGACTGAATCAGATGATATTTATCTATTTTGGACATTGTACTAGTTATGACTGACATCAGGGATTTTAAAGTGTTATGGAGTGTTGATTGATATTCATAAAGACTTCACCCAATATTTAGTAATCCAATGGATTAAACTCTGAATAACTAGGTAGTAATGTATTTGGGGTGTTGTGATCATGACAATTGTAGATCATTCATTCTTTGGTCGTCTTGACCTTATTAGACAATGCAGAGCCTTGTAGTTGGAGTACGCTCTTCTTTTGCACACACTCTCTATCCAAGGCTTTAGTGAGTGAGACGTTTTAAGGGCAACTGACAACAGAATATTAGCGATTTCCAGTTACTGGTTTATATTAACAGCCATGATTAGGGTAGAAGTATTCTGATTTCAGCAGGGGAAAGAAAGAATGTCCCTCGGGTAGTTACGATGGCGCAATTTGTGTTGACAGCCACATGTTATGAGCAGAGAGTTGGTAGAATGAAAACCTAATCAGTTAGTCCAATATTGCAGTTATCCCAAGTGGCACCCACCTATGCCAAGAAATATATAATTTCTGCAAGTTTTTGCTTACAAACTGACTTCAAAAATTTCAGTCAGTTATGTGCCATGAGTGATACACGCTTAGGCGATCATGTATCTCTCGATCCGTGATTGAGAAAGTAGATTGTTTCCCGCAGTAGGTTGCCACTTCTTTCTGTAGTAGACCAGTTACCATCCAAGTCTATAGAACCCGGTCTGTCCTGCTATATACCCATAGCTGGTGGGGGGGAGAAGAGAATTCATTCCTTTCCTAAGGGTATTAGCATGTAAGTGAATTACGAGGTATGAAACGTTGATATGACCGAATCATATGACTTTTAACTATTTTGAACAC